ACATACCGGGCCCCGTATAATTGGACTATTTCTCCACCCTCCCCCCCCTACCCCAGACACAGCAAACCGCAACCGTAATCTTTAGCACCTCTACGTTGGATCACTGACTCCTACCCGCATGCCGGATCGACGATCATTAAGTCCACCTTCCGAATTCACATTGAATCGTCATCCCCCCTACCCTCTAACACAGGGAGCCGCAACAGTTCCCTCTTCCCTCCCGCACCACAGACCCTAGTCTAATTGTGTCTCCATCCCCCTTTTCATACATTAGTTGCTTACGTATTAGTGGCTGCCCTGTCACGCCAACAAATTTGGTCTGACCATTTCACTTTCTCCTCTGTTGATTTTGTCTAACGACGAGTTGGTGTCACCAGCTCGAAAATTCACGAGTACAACTCGATTTTTTCCGCATACGTACAGGGATCGTCTCTGTAGTCGCCAGGGCAGAGCGGGAGGGAGGGTGACTGCTGTCAATCTGCCTGTCTACCGGCGGTGGGGGACGGCATTTGACCATTGGTGGCCATCGTGTTAACGAACGCATGCGGGCAGTGGGGAGAATTGATCCATTGTCTCTGGTGGCGGAACACTGCGCAGACTGTGGACACACTTTCGCCTTCCAGAATGCCAAAATTCTAGGTCGAGGCAATGACCGCGTGGCCAGGGAAACAATCGAGGCCTGACACACAGAGACTACCTCAAAAGACCGTTGTGTCGCCATTCCGGCAGCCTACCCAGCCCTCCGGAGGCAGCTCAACACACGAAAGAGCAAGTACGAAGTCAGGCCAGACGTGAATCCAAACACGGGACAACCTACGACGGACCTAAACGTGACCGCACCGCAAATCGGGCCCGACGAAGTCATCAATACTGTTGCTTCAACTACCACTCCGACACACGGGGAGAAACGCGGTCAGAGGGATGCAATAAAGACTAGCAACCCAGGACGGCAAATAAGGTCAACGCGAATGCGGGCGATGGCCACCAACGTTCAAATGCCGCCCCCCGACGAGAGACAGGCAGATTGACAGCAGTCACCCTCCTTCCCGCTCTGCCCTGGCGACTACAGGACGATCCTTGTACGTATGCGGACAATTAGCCCCAAGGCCGATTAACTACTCCCCCGTATAATTAACATCGTGTTAACATGACTTTCATCCATCCCTCCTGTAATTACTGTGTGACGTCGTACGATACACACCGCCGAAACTGGAATCTTGTCTGCTTTTGAAGTGTCAGGACAATACAGTCATGTTTACCGAGATCGCCTCTTATTCTCATGTATGTATGCGCGTATATATGCAGTAATACCCAACCCCGAACTGTGGAACACCCGAGGCTCGGACTCGCGACCTGTCACTTAGAAGTCCACGTCTCTAACCCCTGGGCCACGAGCCCGTTGCCCTGTCGGTTTTTTTCATCGGGAATATACAATGTTAGGGGGCTCTCACCGATCGTTCTTAGGGAACTCACTCGTTCCGTTGTGACTTACGAGCTCTCTCTCGATCCCAACCAGCAGCCGCACAGCGGCGCATGATATAGGCAGAATGGTAATACCGACAAAGACAAGGGAGACTGGAATGGCTATTGCTGGCTTATTAGCTGTCGTCTGCCTGTCATACCCATCCCCGAAATGTGGGACACCCGATGTTTGAACTCACGACCTGTTCTTCGGAAGTTTAACGCCTCTAACCACTGGGTCACGGGCCCGTTATTCTGACGGTTGTCAGTAGTATCATTCTGCCTATATCGTGCGTCGCTGTGCGACTGCTGGTTGGGCTCGAGAGAAGGCCCGTAAGGCAAAACGGAACTAGTGAGTTCCGTAAGAAAGACCCGTGACCGCCTTTCTACCATTGTATATTTCCGATCGAAACGGGTACCACAACCGTCCGTTTTCTCACCTGCCGGATAAGTTGATGAGGCGGCTATACTGACGATCGCACCTTCGTCAGGCACGGGTTGTAGTACAGCTGCGTGTGCGTCCCCCATGGACTCGGCCGTATTTGGGTTCCTGCCTTGTCGTAACACGCGTTTGCTATTCTATCCACTGAAATGCGTCTGCAGGGCATGGTAGGCTTTGGGAAGCGCTACTAATATCTACATATGTTGTATTCATAATATCGGAGGAAGATGAAGGAGAGGGGGCGGGTTAGTGGATCGAAATATATTTGAACTGGCGTTTCGGAAGCTCTCAAGTTCCCATCATCGGAGTAGTGTGTTGGTTGTTCCTGTCGACCTTGATTGCTTCAGCCTTGACGCCTGCCTCGAGGCACGAACTATGTCTTGTCCGTTCGCTGCTGATTAGTGTTGACCTCTCCGAGATTGGTCGCCCGTTGGCTCGTGTCACCTATGATCCCTTTGTGACCGACGTAATCGTTGACGAGCCAACACGCTTGTGGGCCTCCCCCTCTTCACCCAATCGACTGATCAGTCGTTGGAACCCATATAAGCTGACCTCAGTCTCGTGAGCTCCACGATGAGATGGTGGCCCGTGCTGTCCCATGACCTTCCGCCGGCTTCTCCCCTATTTTCCGCTGGCATCGCTTTCGGCCACACTTGACTTTTCTCGACTGCCCTGATTGCCTTGTTCGCACTGACTCGAGCCCTGTGCGTAGCGCCCGATGGACGGGATACAGTTTGATGGCTCGAGTCGAGGACCGACTCACGAGCATCAGTCTGGCCATCTTATCATTGACTCAGCCGATTGCCTTTGTTTTTAGATAAATTCTCAGTAACTTCCGATTTTGTCGTGTTAACTTAGTTGAAGCTGGTTGCTCACGCGCTTGGGAACTCGTTGGCTGAATTTGCGGTCAAGGTTCTTGGCCTTGAAAGTGAGGGTCCAACCACTATGCATACGTCACGCAGATGAAAATGTATTCATGTCATTAACTACAAAAGTTGTAAGTAGTGTTTTCACAGGAGAAAAAACAGAAGGAGCAGGAGGCTTAGACCAAAACAGTAAATTTGACAAACCGTCCTCCTTTCGGTTATCTCCTGGTTCCCTATGAGGGATGTAATTAGCAGTCCTTGGGCTCTAAAGACGATTGTTTGATTTTATGCGTTTTTTGCAGGGTCTTCGGTATTACAGATTACAAACTGATCAACTTTAAGAAAGCAGATCGACCCTCCGCATCCGGCCGCTCACGATGCGCCTACCAACAAACCACCCCCATAGGACCCAATTCCGAAGTGTGGAACACCTGCTGCTCGATCCCGCAACTTGCTGATTAGGAGCCCAACGCATCTAACCACTGAGCCACGGGCTCGTTGTCCTATTGGTTGCAATCGGGAATATGCGGTGGTAGAGGGGTGCTGACCAAAGGGACAATGGGCCTATACCTCAGTGGTTAGAGGCGATCAACTTCAAACCAACAGGTTGCGGGATCGAACCTCAGGTGTTCCACACTTCGATAGCCACCAAAGCCTCCTCGTCAGGGCACGAATTCGACTTTGGGTGCGTGAAAATATTGAACCAGTCGAACCACCGAGTTGCGCGTCTGTTTCAGGAATCGTGGCGCTCAACTGCGGACTTGATGAATCGACATATCGATCTACCGATCGCCTATCAAGCATTGCGTGAGTAGATCAGCAGTGCAAATGGAGATCGTCTCCGACAAATGTGAACTGAATATACGATGATTTGTACGGATTTTTCCGTTACCTGACGATGGACTCACATGAGAGTTCGAAACGTCGGATAAATAGATAATTAGTCCCAGCCATCGCCTTTCCATCTTCTTCTATTCAATTACTTGGACCACGCGTATTCTCTATCATTCGGGATATATGTATTCCGAATGATATACACTTATATTGAAAAGCTGAGGTAGTCTGCATTCCGGGGTAATATGATGAAGACAGAAGGCTCGTCGGAAAAAGTGGAGTACAACTCTGGCTGCAATATGTAGATGACATTTTGTCATCATCAAGAAAAATCAGTTAAACCTGCTCCATACCAATGTTAACTCTATATTTCCGGGAATTACGTTCGTTTTCGAAGCAGAAGTTGATGGACAGCTCCCATTCCTGGATGTCCTTGTACGTCGAAAAACTGTTGGATCATTTCACACCTCAGTTTATCGCAAAGAAGCGCATTCAGAGGTCAACCTACACTTTGAGAGTAACCACCCTGTCTCCCACAAACGGAGTGCAGTCTACAGCCTTCGGAATCGAGCCAGGACTCATTGCTCGGATAAAACAAGTTATCAAGTAGAAATGAAATCCCTCTACTAAGTGTTCTCCTAAAACGGGCATCCGCACGACCTTATACGTAAATGCGTATGGCACCAGCAATTCAAGGGAAAAGATATTTCCAATGCTACGGCCACTCGGGCACCAAAACTTACCACCTGGCTAACCCTTCCATGCGTGAAAAGTGTGTATGAACTAGTCGAAAGACAACTAAAGAAAAACACCGGACACAGCACACCAACCGGCAACTACCATACGCAAGCAGCTTGTATACCCTAAGGACAAGGTTGGCTACCTCAAAAGAAAAGGTTTTGTTTACAAAATCCCAGTGCTCAAGCTGTGACGCCGTCTAGTGTGACTAAAATGGGAAATCTGTCTCAACCCGAATACACGAACATCAGTTAGCGGTGAAGAGACGAGACCACTTATCCCTGGTGGCCATGTACACACTGGACACTGGCCACCAATTTGTATGGGAGAACACTCGCATTGTTGGCGCCTGCCAAATAAGGGAGGGCCACGAATTCCTGGAGGCAATGCACTCAGATGAAACACGCATCAACAGGCATATCGATCTAGATAATGAGAAATCCAAACTGGCTTAGCCAATCCTGATGAGATGACAAATTACGACTAACACGCATTGGCACAGACTCTAGCCAATCATAGGATCCTTTGTCAGGATCGGTTTGGAAGTTAGTTGTTTTTGCACACCCATAGTCTGAAGACGAGCTAAGGAAACACTCTCGCAAATTTACACAATAAACTCTACTGCTTCCCAAAGAATTGCACCTTCCTAATATTCATATATGTATGTAAAGATAGAAGGCCCACAGTTCACAAAAGGACCTGCGTCTAAACTCTGTTCCACCAAGCCTACCGTCATTGCAACTGCGACGATCTCCTCAAGAAAAGGTTGCTTACCTCTATCGGTTATTTCGATCTAACGCATATCCGATTAATTTTGTAAAGATCTGCCCCAGACAGACACAAGCTAGGTATCCATCGGTGAGACCCATATCTCCTCTATATATTTAATCCTAAGAACGTGTGCCTACTGCTGTTCGACGCTTCTTCTAAAAAAAGTTTCTGAAACTTCAGTTACAATTTGGAAATATACGCCATCTACACTTTTTGTTTACAATTCATTTTAACGAACGTAGCATCGATATGCTTTTCTAATCGACAGTTTTGTTCAACTGTGATAACCAACAGTGGACCAAAGAAGTTACGCCTTCGATGGATTGTAACAGAAAATGATTCGTCCTGATTGTACTTGTTTTTCCCAGTGTTTTCCAATTCGTTAATGGCCCATAAACTATAACTTCTCGCTGACTTACACCCATTGTCATATGTCATGCGAGAGTGAGTGCTGAATAGAACGTCCGCCATTGCACTTGTGGCTGCATACGGCGATGTTATCTTCAGTAAGGGGTTAGGCGGCTTTTAAGTGCCACAGTTAAGCGTGGTACAGCAATAGACATTTTTTGGGGAATGTATTTTAGGCGAGAAGGTCACTATCACCAAAATGCCTCTAGAAACGACGAAAAGGAGGTAGCTGTCTGCGCATTTTTCCCAGTGGCTGGGCCAGAGGGAGTTCGCGCGTCTACAACCTCGTCGTAGCCCCGCTATTTAGTAAGGACCCGGTCTTTCATAGTCCCTCTTGTCCTGCGGCAAAGAAGGGAGCTATTTGGGACTGGTGCTGGGAGAGCAGATCAATATAATTGTCTTCTAGGAACTTGCGGAGGTGCTGCAGCCAAATTAAGCACCGGAGATGTTAGCAAAATCATGTATTAGGCGGATAAGGGACGGGTTAATAAGCAGAACGGCCTGCGAAAAGTTATGCCCCTCATCAAAGGGAAAACCAACGACAGGCCTTAGTAGGCAGAGCAAGAATTGGAGTACCAACTGTTTATATCGTAAGCACAGAGTGCGGCCATGTAAGCAGACCTGTAAGGGGTCGCGCCTTCATAGTACGGAGCCAAAAGTACCCAGTAGCAATGGTAAGAAAGCATTTGGCACGTGTCGACGTTCCTATCCCTTTACAATAGTAGCTAGCTGTTGCTTCTGTTATAAAGTTACTGTGTGCGCATCTGACCCGTGTTTAGTGCACATCTTAGTCAACTGGGTGAGGTGAATTACTTTAAATTTGGATTTAGTGGTAGATCAAGTGGTAACTCTTAATTATATCATTAGAAATCCCTGTTTTGAATTGGTTTCTAAATCCACTGCTATCACTCCTCCCCCATAGCGACAATTTTCGCGGTTTTTGATGTCATCTCCCGCATTCCGACCTCATGCGGTCTGCCGACGCTCACGGCGGAACCCTCAGTATTCATCGTCTACTAGTAGTTTGGTCGTATCCCCCTTCCCCACTGCTCGGCTGAGCTCGAAGCGTGCTGTGGCCGATCGTATCTGGGTTCCTCTCGTCTGGCCTCTTTGACGCGAATAGTTTCATGCGGCGTATCAATCCGGCCCAAACGATGTCAATTGTGAAGCCCGTGCAGGCCAGTCCTGTCTGACCCGCATACGTACCCCTCAAGGCTGACATTTATTGCTACCCTGACAATGACCGACAACAATCCGTTATATACCACCACCTACAGGCCAGTCCTGCTCGCTTTTTTCTGTCATTATTTTTATTGAGGGTTTTTTTCTCCTGTAAAATTAATCCAATCATTTTTAACTTTTTGTATGGCGTTTTTTTTCACCCCTCGCTAATCATATTTCTCAATGGACTACTAATTCAGAAATTATGAATTGGATTTTGTAAAGATTCTGCCTACCTCGTCTGAAACTCGCATGTAAATTTATTTTGACTTGCTTTGATGGGACCCCGACGGGTCTTTAATACAAATTATCTATCTATCTATCTATTTGGAGTTCATTTAGTTACCGCAAGGGCTTTAGGTCTACTTGTAGCATTATAGCAAATAAGAACTTATTTAACTATGACAATTTACAATGTGAATTCGTCAAACATTGCCATTTGATAGCGGATTCTTGTCGCGACCGCTAAACATGTCAGCGAGCTCTTTCATAAAAATATGTGGGCAAAAATTTCAAGCAAAAATGGGAGGTACCCCAAAGACTGAGAATTGAACGAGAATTACGATAACGGACGACATCGATAATGAAGACAAATGTCTGGCATAAGGTAGGTCCGTCCAGGGAAGAGGGATTCCTGTAAATCTGTAAGAAAAATACCCTCCTACTAGACAGGAGGAATCAGTTATACTAAACCAGCGTTTGTGCATACCTGCGGCAAATACGGATGGCTATTTTTTGTATTTGCTACTATACGTCACTACTGTGGGCTGCAGTGACACGCTTTTAAAATAATATTATGTGGAATGCGTGCGCTGCCGAGGGCGTTTTAGCAGCATATTTATATGAGCTCGAGTGTTGTATGTATAGTTTTCACCAGGGTCTTCAAAGACAGTGCCTACTGCCCTTACATATACTGAACGACCGAACTAAACCAAAGACGTGCACCTAAGCTGTCTGCAAATAAACTGAACTGGACATTGTTTGCAATGATACCTGCCTCCGCTATTAGGCAACATGGCTACCCGTGAAGCTCCCAAGTTTGTCCAAATATGTCCCTGAAAAATGACTGCCACGTTAGTGTCCTTGGCAATGCGCAGCTATGCACTGGATGAGGGGCAACTGGTCTGCTCCGGTGCTATACGAGAGATACGGAATGTCTAGTGCTTCGGATCTAACAGGCATCCTGCCTTCATGAAAGATGCGGTCGCAAATGCGACAAACGTTTACTTGCAGAGTTTTCGCGAAGGCTGCATGTATTTAAATTCCAAAAATCTCGAATAGCTAGAGAGTATTGGCAGTTTCTGCTTAATGTTCGCCTCAGCCTTTGAGATAATATTTGCGATGCATCTCGATATGGCCACTTTAGAAAGTACCAGCTGCAGTGTGCGTAGTATCGTACCGGACTTCGTAACCAGGCGGTAAAATGTACATTAGTAATTTTGTAACTAATTCCATTTGCCACGCTACTATATTGTATGATTCTCTAGACCATGTATCCGACATTCAGTAACTGGCATAGCAGCTTGATGAGCTACATCTTGTCGTTTTACGAACAGTATAAACTGTTATTTTATTTAGGCTAAGGGCACTTTCATGGCAAGTTAATATGCATTTTCGAAGGAGCTTTAGGATGAGTAGGCAAACACTCAACAGTGTTCAGTTTATGTTTATAAAATAGACAGTATGATATGCAAAACGGATAGCAGACAGCGAAAAAACCTTCAAGCTTGTTTTAAAAGACGAAATGAATGTGATTTAATTAGTTATTAAGGAGAAAAACTGTCGCTCATCGGAAGGTGAATGTGCGTGTGGGATAGGACCGCCCTGTAGGTATGACTATACAAGAGTTAGAAGCGGTCCTCGTAAAGGTTGAATTCCCATAACAGATGCTGCCATTTACCGCAGATACGATCGTAGCATTTTTGGGATGACAGCGAAACAACAGCCAAGGTGGTGAGACTGGAGAAACCTAACACAATCGGTCACCGACTCTTAAGAGTCCAAGCTAGAGGGAAACAATAATGGCTGTGAGGATCATAAAAGCTGACCAACCAAACTACTTCCAGGTAGCAGGGACAGGGAAATCCGCCGTGATCGTGAAAATACCGCTTGGAATAAGTGATATGAATTCGCATTTCCGCGCAGCTTATGCTGAGGTTCGAGATTCGTGAGGAGGCAAAGTTAGCTTATTTTTATGATAGGCCTATGCCTTTTAGGGCTTAGCATTCCAAGAGTGAGTTAATCTGCAAAATCACGGGGCCAGAAAGCCTGGTAGGGACAAAACACACGAAAATACAACTGGGCGACTAAAATTTCATCTGCAAAGTTGAAATTCCTTTCCACAACCACAGCAGATTAGAGTTAATCCTTTTAAACACAGTCACTGGTGATGTCGTCAGAATACGAATAAACACACCTACAAGTCGAGTAGAGAAGGCCAGATGTAGAGGGCTTCCAATCTTGCCAAAAGACGTTTAAATGGCACCTTGTGAAAGGCTTTACTAAGATCAAAGTAGAGAACTATTACTTGCTGCTGCTCATTAGTAAGATAAGTTATTAAATTAAGAAAGGCTAAGCGGCAATTTTCACAGGACCTTTTAGGCAAAATATATTTTGAGAAGATCTCAGAAACTAGTTATATAGACAGAAATTAACAATGCCACTGAAAATAATCTTTTCAAGAAGTTTTGTTAGAAACGGTGTTTAATGCATGCCCCGATAGCTGATAACATCGGATCGCGATCCAAACTTGATAACAGGAAGATGATTGAGGTCTTTCGAGTTTTGGGAAAAATCCGTCCGAAATAAAGACTGAAAATTGATGTATAAGCAATCAAGGAGGGTCCGATGCCTGTTAAATGATCAGGATTGAAATACTGTCCGCTTCAGAGAACTATGGGTTCCCCAAATGACTTACGTGTTTCCTACTTTGGCCTGAGAAGACATCCATTGTACTGATGTTTCTGTCTGAGAGCGGCTTAGAGAAGGAAAGTGGTTCAAACTGAGTTGCAAGATGCTTTGCAAAAATTCACTAAACAAATTTGCCTTGTCACTGTCATCGATTAGGAAGATTTTGTTATCGGATTGCAATTGTGGAATTTCATGATCACGCTTAATGGAGGGTCGGTGGAGAATGATTTAAGCGACGGATTCGACAGCGTTCGGGTGACATGGTACTCTGTGCCTGTAGCGCCTTTGATGCATCCTCAAAACCATCTGGAAAATGCTTATGCTTTTTAGATGGCCGAAAAAAAACTAGGGGAAAAATCATCCAACAACCTCCTCATCTTTTCAGTCTGTTATGGAGAAAGTGAGGAACAAGGGAGCCTGACGAGTTAGACTTGAGATATCTACAAGGCACAAATTCTACGATGTATTGCAAACGTCGGACTCGTCGTTCGAAGAAATGCTGCATCATTACAAGGGAGAATGTCGTGTCAATCCAATGATCCAAACAGTTTGTTATTAAGTCGCTGTCTACACAATGGTAATCTCGGTAGGTCCGAGCTATGCTGGTATTTTCGAAAAGGGCAAGCGATAGGCAACAAAGAACTGATTCATGGCCACTATCAAAAAGGTCTTTTATGACAGCAACGAGGAGGGGAGCAATGTTCCTGGTAAAGATCCGATCTGCAATCTGATCATCTCTTATGGATGGCGCATCAACTGAGCCCAGTAAGAAAAATGGACAATACCTTAGGAAGAAATCAAGGTGGACAATTAGTCAAAAGACAATCTATTTCGGGGTAGCTTAAATTTCCAACGCGTATTTTAGCATCGAAGGCAGATTCCGAAACTAATTTCGAGATTCCACAAGGTTGTCCACCATCACTAACTGAATAGTTTGGAGGATTGTAGATACAGACATTAAGCCCTTCCTTGTGGCGAAAGAATTATTGATGCAAATCCGGAATTTCCAGAAAACGAAGGAGTATCCAACTCCTGGAGAAAGTGCTTAAGGGAGAAATTAAAATAGAGAAGGCTACCGTCTCCACGCCTGTTTATGCGGTTTTGACGGCAGAAATCAAAGTCATCTGTAAAAGCGGATGAATCAGAAATTAGGTGATAGGTCCAGGACTCGGTCATGCATATAGTATCGGGTGTCAGTCAGAGAACAATGGCTCTTATCTGGGCCATCTTGCTAACAGCTGAACTGAAATTTAGTAATATAGTATTAAACGGGTTTCGAGCAGCGCGGCTGTTGACTACGCTATTCAAAAATTTGAGGGTCGGCTAGTAGGTTGTTATTTGGTTACAAAGTACCATTATGTCCCAAAAACCTTCACATAGAGAGTCGGCAAGAAAAGGATGAGACTGAGGCGTTAAAGGTATAAGTATATGGCTCTCAGATGTCGGAATATCATGTGAGTTAGAACAGGTTTTTCGTTGCGGTGCAAAGGTCAAAACGTTGCTAACTTACAACAAAACGCACAGGACAACAAACACTACCGCTTATTTACTATAGTAACTAGATGAAGACAGTCTGAAATGACGTCAAGAAACAGGCTTTTCTCAAAGTGCAACTCTTTTAACAGACCGTCTAAATGGACAGGAAGAAAAATGTACCTGGCAATAAAAAACGAATTTTAAGAAGAACTCAATTGAAAATACGCATTAATTGCCTGTGAATACCGAAGTAAAGGCAAAGCGTCATTTATCTTTGAAATCGAGCTGCAGTCTATGCTGATGACTTCAAGTGCGTATATTAATTCTCTAAATCTACGACCCAACATTGCCTGAAACAAATCCACGCTGACTTGCTTGCCCTTTCCGCGTAAAGCACAACATGGCTAGTGGAA